CCACTGCAATCCTCGGTGTCTAGTTTTTGGCTCTCCTTGAGCTGGGAGACTGAAGTCTTTATGTTTTCTAAGTCTCTCTGCTTCCAGTCATCTTTCCTTCTAGTTCATCCTCTATGTAACAAAGGGGAGCAGTTACCTGCAGGGGCCAGGAAAAGAAGCACCTTCCAGAAGCAAATGAGAGAGAGTTCCAGATGTAGGAGGCCAGGTGACAAGGGCTGTGGCGTTTGGTATCGGAATACAGCCATTCTGATTGATGGCTTGGAGGAAAGCAGGGAAAACTGATCTCATATTCTTCTTCTTCCTTCAGTCCCCTGCTCATGCCTCCTGTTGCAGTAAACCCAAACTGAGAGCCAGGGAGCCCATACGGCTGGCCTTCCAGGGCACAGAGCAGGGTGGAAGGGGAAACAGAATGGGTCTGGAGAGTCAAAGAGAATATATTAGCACATCCTTCTAATTTATAAGGTTGATTAAGAAAATAGCTTTATACATGTTTTGGGGCTGGAGAAGACCCTTGCCCCTCACTTCAAAGTTGAAAGGTAACACTTCTTTCATATCACTAACATTTATTTGTAGGGACATTATTTGCTGAATTAAATGAATGATAGCTGTAATTTATTACAAGCCCTCCATGTGACAGGCACATATTCTCATGTCTCCTCGTTGTGCAAGAGTAGCCTTCCTTCCCCAGGCTGCAGGCACCTGGGACCTGGGCTTCCCTCTCAGCCCCAGCTTCATCTGGAAGGATGTCCCGTTCAATTAGCATATTATTCTTTTATTCTTATAGATTCTCATTTAATCCTCTCAGTACCACTGAGAAAAATATATTGTTGTCATTATTTTACTAACAATAAAGCTTACATATATATATATATATAAAACTTTTATTTATTTTTTTAAAATTCCTCATTGTTAAAGTATTACATGTCCCCTTTTATTCTCCATCGCCCCTCTCCAGCTTGCCTCCACCCTAGGCATTCACCACCCTATTGTCTGTGTCCAAGCTTGTCTGTTTTTACTATGGTATCACATTATATACTCAGAGTCAATAATCTTATATGAATTCACTACTGGTAGAGAGGAAGATAGGAAGTGAAATGACATTTTAAGTAATACGGATGATTCCACCTATTAATCCATTCTTTTTTCTTTTTAAAAAAATATATTTTTATTGATTTCTTACAGAGAGGAAGAGAGAGGGACAGAGAATTAGAAACATCGATGAGAGAGAATCATCAATCAGCTGCCTCTTGCACACCCACTACTGGAGATGTACCCGAAACCAAGGTACATGCCCTTGACCGGAATCGAACCTGGGACCTTTCAATCTACAGGCAAACGCTCTATCCACTGAGCCAAACCGGTTTTGGCATATTAGTCCATTCTTAACACTAGTGAGAAATTAGATTTTACTTTGTATGATGTGATCCTTAAATACACACCATCTAATGTATCTGGTACTTAAAGAAACACAGCAGAAAGAAAACAAGCAATTATGATTTATTAAGAGGTGGCATGTTGTTTTCCAATGTGACTCAATTCTCAAAGGGATTCCTAGGGTAAATTTTGTGTACCTCATTTCCATCTTATTCACTCAGTTTAAACCTAACCCCTTGATAAGATGACTCTTCTCTTAAGAACTAGAGTGTAGATGAAAAACAGGCTGGTTATAAAAGCCTGTATGATTATAACTTTCTTGCTTTTTAGTAGTATCGTATATAGCCTCACCAAATAAAAGGTTAAAAACTGCCCACTGTTTTTTCTTCCTTCCTTCCTGCAGAATTGGGAGGTTATTATTTCTCCTTTCCTCGGTTTGCTATTATTTAATATTTCTGAATGACTTCAATTTAAATGGCAATGGATATTTTTATAGATCTTGCCATTGTTTTTATTAGCATGTTTTTTTTTTTTATGAAAGGGTACACTTTAAGTAGTATTCATATTTTAGTGTGTAGAAAATGTCAACTTTTCTATTGGATATAAAAAGTTATCTCCATAACATAAAATATATGTGAGGAACATCTTTTAAATGTTTCCAAGACAAGCAGCAATTGTTTTCTCTTGCTGTTAATATTCTTTGTCAAAACATTGTGCAGAAATATTTAGTGCTCATAATCTAACATTGTTGGAGATTCAAATATATTCATCTTATAGCAGACATTACTATTTTTTAAAGATACTTCTCATGAATAATATACTCTTTTAGTAATCATAGTTTTCTCTTTGAGTCCACAGATCTGCTTTAAAATTTTTCTTCTGATTTACTAGTATAAAACACACACATTTATACCATTACCACTTATTTGAAGGTGTTATTTTCATATTAAATAGGAATTACATATAATTTTCTTATTTGTATCTTGAGGATGCCTCAAATGTACCTGCAAATAATAGACATTTAATAAATGTTTGTTGAATGAATGAATGGATTTTCTAGATGACAGGTATAAAGATTTATTCTGAGTTTTCATTAGTTCCACTTATAGTTGACCTAGAGAAAACCATAATGTTATATGGAAATGAAATGCACTTCTAATACATGGAGTTATGATCATTATAACTTATTAGAGCCTGGTGCATGAAAATTCATGCATTGGAATGGGGGGGGGCCCTCAGCTCAGCCTGCTCCCTCTCACAGTTCAGAGGCCCTCAGGGGCGGGAAGTGACCTGGCGATCAGGGGAAGGCGATGCCCCATCACACCTCTGCTGCTGCAACTGCCAGCAGTGCAAGCCTTGGCCAAATCTGGTTACCTGAGCCTTGGGCGGACCTGAGTGTGTGGTCAGCCAAGATCCAAGGCTTGCCTGAATCTCTTGGATAGCTGTAGGTGGCTGGGGGGCTGAGGAGACTGGGGGACTCTGGAGGCATGTTCATGGAGAGGCCCGGCCCATCTGGGGGCAGGTCTGGCTTTGCTGTGCCTGCTGCCTGGGCAGGGCTGAAGGGACTGGATGCCACCATCTTGTGTATGTGTGCACCTGTCATCTTTGAGGGTGGGGCAGTCAATTGGCATATTCCCTCTTTATTAGATAGGATACTTGAAATAAAAGTATTAATTTCAAGCAGAAATAACAACAAAACAATCAATGGCAAAAAGCACAAATTGGGCTGAATCAGTAGCAGTGTTGTATTTGTTGTACATAATAGATTTTTAACAGTTTTTGAGTTAGCATTTTAAAGTTATATTATTTGACATGAAAATTGGGGTTTCTGAATTTTCTTAAAATTTGAAGATAAGCTAACACCGTCTCTATTCCTAAAGGCAACAGAAGTCTCAACACCCTTTAGATCTGGCCTTTGGTGCTTTCTAGTTCACCAGATCCCCCCTCTCATGCAGTTCCTGCATATCCACTCACAGACTGCTGGACTCGTCATTTACACCAGCCACCTTGGGCCTGGGGTGAACGAAAGGAGTTCACCCTGTATAGCTTTAAGGAGGTCAGCTTTTATAGTCTCAAGTTCTTATATTCTTACTGGGAATGAGTCTGCCAGAGAACCTACTGGAGTTCCCAATAACCCTTCTTCCACCATGAAAAGAAAGTCATGCCTTCTCCTAATCCCAAATCCAACTGTGGAGTCAGGCTCCGTGGAATAAAACCTAGGGGGCTTGAAACAAAATCCAAGCCTCATTAATGATTAACCAAAGCACTGCAGACTTCAGAAATTGCCTGTCCCTCCTGTCCTGTGTATATTTGGATTCCCAGGGAAGGCTGGCATTAGAAATGACATCTATTTGTGAAGCTTAAAATTCGGATAACTTCTAGAATATAGTGGTGAGAATAATGGCAGTTTTAATTTAATTTGTTTGTTAATTAATTATTTAAATATATTGGACAAACATTGGCTCTTGTGGGAAATTCTCTTAAGTATTCAACTAAGGAGCATTTATAAGAAATACTGAACTCTTTTTTTTTTTTTTTAAATAGCTTTCTATTTAGTTTGGTTTTGGATATAAATGTAAAGTTACTTTAAAAAGTGTTAAAAATGTAGTTATTTTTAGTCAATCTTATTTGTTTCTTATTTCATACTGCTACCTGGGTTTGATTTTAGCAATATATATTTTTTCTTTTATAAATACACAAACAATATATAATCATTAAACAAAATTAATGCTTTTGTTCTGATTTTGATTGTTGATTCTTATTTTTGATTATTCACCAAATATGAACACCATAATTCAGTTTGTGCATCCTCACATGTTGACTAGTGTTATGATTTTAAAACTGTCCCTACATGGATAATACGATAAGGTAGTCACATATAAAGTAGAAGAAAATCCCCGTTTTCTTTAAGGGCAGATATGGAGTTTGAGTTGCTACTGCCCTTAATTCACTAATTTCTATCCGAGTGATTATTTTTTAAAATGAAATTATTTTCTTAATTAAATATATAGTGTTATACTCTTAAAAAATACATATGGTAACATAATATTAAAATGCTTAAAAGGACAACAATGTAAAAATTAAAGAATAGAAAATGAAAAAAATTAATTTAAGTATAGAATTATTTATACAAGTTCGTAATAACCAGTTTGTGTAAACTATTGATAACAAAAAAAATTCATCTGTTTAATGGATTTTTTTAAAATTGTGTTTTTTTTTTAACATAAACTATATTCTCAAACTCATTTGACATGTTAATATAACTTGATTTGAAGCTATTCTTTTTGTCCTGTACATCAATATATCCAGAGGAAACAGTGGCTTGCCTGTCAGAGTATGAATAATGCAATAATCTAAAATTGCCTACATTTTCAGTCAAAGATGGAAACCATTGAATAAAAGCAGAATTTATGATTTTGAGTTCAGACTGTTTCAGAAATCTGCAAAAAAACTTTTTTAGTGACTGAAAGGTCTTATGATTTCTTTGGGGATAATACCTAGCAAGCAATTCCTAAAAGTTATCTCACATTTACTTAATTGCATTCTCAACTACTATCACTTTTTTGAAAATTACCCTAAAATCAAACATAATCTGTCCTGCATCTCAATGAATAACAACTCTTGGATCTGCAGTCTCATCTCAAGCTCATCATCTTTCTCCCTCTCTGGACTTCTTTACTTTTCTCAAATGAACAAACTGTATTCTCTTAGTTATCCTGGCTTGGAAATTCTCTGATTTTTCTCCATCTTCTCCAAATCCAATAATAAGAGACTGACAATTATTTTTTTTCTTGTCATTGATACCTCATTTTAATTCCCACTGTTATTATCTTGGTCCCTGAACTCATTACTTCACAGCAAGACTATTTTAATAATTTCTTAGCTGATCTTTCTTGATCTTGTTTCTAGCTCCTCTAATATTTTTTATAAACCACTGCTTTCTCTGCTCAGTTGATTTTTCCTACTCAAAATCCCTCAAGATTTTCCACAAGCAACAACATAAAGTTAAAATTTCATAGTCTAGCATTTAGGACTCTTCACTACTGACTCCAATCTACCTTACCTCATGGACTCACTTAATAGTTTTGAAAGTTACTCTGTGCCAAGAACTGTGCTGCTAACCTAGCACATGGAGACGAGCGAGGTGTGGTCCTTCCTTGGTCTTAACAAGCTCATGGTGCTTTTCAGTAGGAGGGCATTAGCCAGTAATGCTTTCCATGGCTCCATCTATAATTCATTGACTAATTCACTTTTCATTTTTTCATGAAATCTTCTTTAACTATACCAATACATTTTGGTTTCTTCCTCCTCTGAAATTTGATCTCATGTTATTTGTTTATGAAAATCTAGATGAATTGTTTTCCCCCCTCCTTGGCTTTATTGGGAGATAATTATAATATAACATTATGTAAGTTTAATGTATGTTATGATACATGCATATGTAGCAAAATGATTCAATATAGTTGATAACAATAAGTCTAGTTAAGACATGAACTTCCTCACATAATTACAATTTTTGTGTGCGTGTGTGTGGTGAGAATATTTAAGATCTACTCTCTTAGCAAATTTCAAGTAAATATATTAGTGCTGTAACTGGTTTGGCTCAGTGGTCATATGAGATAAAGAGGTCATAGACTGTGGACTGAAAGGTCCTAGGTTTGATTCCGGTCAAGGGCACGTACCTTGGTTGCAGGTACATCCCCAATAGGGGTTGTACAGGAGGCAGCTGATCAATGTTTCTCTCTTATTGATGTTTCTATCTCTCTATCCCTCTCTCTTCCTCTCTGTAAAAAATTAATAAAAATATAAACAAAAGTAAATATATTTGTGTTAATTGTAGTCACCATGCTGAATATTAGTGCTTCAGAGCTTATTCATCTTATTACTTTAAATTTGTCCTCTTTGATACCTCTTAATTTTCTCCCAATCCTGAGTACTGGCAACTACCATTCTATTCTCTGTTTCTATGAGTTTGGATCTTAAATTTCCAAATGTAAGGGAGATAAAATAGCATTTATTTTTCTCTGTCTGACTTAGTTCACTTAGGTCCATCCACCTTGTCACAAATGGCAGGATTTCACCTTTCTCATGGCTGAATAATATCATATATACATGATAATGTACATATCATATATAATCTATACTAATAAAAGCCTAGGTGGTTCTTGTGCCCTTGCACATGCGATGTCATCACAAGATGGCCACCACAAGATGGCCATGCACACAGCAAAGGTGAGGCCAGGCAGCTTCTCCCATGGCTCCGCAAGGCACTAGGAGGCCAGTCCTAGTGTCTCTGCACCTTGCATGGAGGAGGCTGATTGGGTCATCAGGGGAGGGCAGTTGTGGATGATCAGGCCAGCAGGAGAGGGCAATTGGGGGCAATTGGGCTAGCAGGGGAGCAGTTAGGCATTAATCAGGCTTACAGGGGAGCAGTCAGGGGGCTATCAGGTTGGCAGGCAGAAGCAGTTAGGGGCAATCAGGCCGGCTGGCAGGCGAGCAGTTAGGAGCCAGCAGTAGTGGATTGTGAGAGGGATATCCAATTGCTGGTCAGACATCCCTGAGGGGTTCCAGATTAGATAGGGTGCAGGCTGGGCTGAGGGACACTCCTCCCCCCCATATGCACAAATTTCATGCACTAGGCCTCTAGTATATATAAAAGCCTAAGTGACCTTTACTACTGGTAGACCAAACAATCGGTTGACCAGTTGCTATGACATGCACTGACCACCATGGGGCAGATGCTCAATGCAGGAGCTTCCCCCTGATGTTCAGTGTACTCCCACAGCTAGCCAATCTCCCATGGTCCCTCCCCCTTGACCAGCCAGCCACCCGCATTGGCCCTGATAGTTGGCCAGGCCCAGAAACCTCACCCATGCACGAATTTGTATATAATAATATCAGATGCATATATGCCACATTTTCTTTACCCATTCATCCACTGATGGATGCAAAGGTTGTTTCCATATATTGGCTACTGTGAATAATGCTGCATTGAACATGGGGATACATATATATCTTTAAGCTAGTGATTTTATTTCCTTCAGATATAAATCCAGATTATTGACCATTTGTTTATCTTCCTTGGAAAGAAATGTCTATTCAGGTCCTCTGCCCATATTTTAATAGATTATTTGTGTGTGTGTGTGTGTGTGTGTGTGTGTGTGTATGTGTGTGTGTTTGGAAGGGGGGATTGCTACTGAATTTCATGAGTTCCTTACATATTGTGGATATTAACTCTATCTGATATATGCTTTGCAAAAACTCCTCCCATTTTATATGCTGCCTCTTCACTCTGTTGATTTTGTTGTTGTAGTTATGCGGAAGTGTTTTAGTTTGATGTAGACCCACTTGTTAATTTTTGCTTTTGTTGCTTGTGCTTTCAGGTGTCATTAAAAAAATGGAATGGAATATTGAGCCACATTATCTACTTCTGCAAAATAATTTAAAAACCAACAAAGGAAGGAACAAACAAACAAACAGGATTGAAGTCTGCAGATCTGACTCTGGTGACATAGATGGGACTATCATTCCCAAAGTTCTTGGGTAGGCTGGACTGGTCTCTGATTGTAGCTGGAGGGATAGAGCTGACTGTAGGGCCTTTGTAAGATATCCTGAGGCATGGACTGAGTAGTTTCCCTCTTGGTCAATGTGCCATTGTGACTGCTCACAGGACTGCTCATGGATTGGGAGGGGCTGTAGCTGCGTATGGGGCCCTTTCGGGATCTCTGAGAATGTAGACTGGTACGTCTTCTCCTGAGTTCTTGGGATGGCAGGCCTGATGGTCATCTGTGGCTATGATGGGGCTGGATCATCCTTCAGGATCTCTGGGGGGTGCAGGCTCCCACTGGAACCCTGAACCCTCAGGATTTCTGTTAGGCAGTGGTTGTGAGGGGGCTTGATGTATAGGGCCCGTTCAGGATCTCCAAGGTGCAGACAGGAGTGTCTCCAGCAGGGTTTTTGTGGCTGGGATGAGAGTCCAATTACAGGCCTTTTCAGGACCTATAATTTAAGGGCTCTCCCCCAGACCATGGCAGCGAGGGGCTGGAGCTGGTCCACTCCCACTTTAGGGTCCACAGCAGAACTGAGGTCCCTATGTGGGTGGGACTGCGTCTCTGTCCCTTGGCGTATGGTGCTGGTGATGGGACCCACCCTAATGGGGTTGTGGCTAAGTCCTCAGAAGTACAGACCTGTTTCTGGTCTGTAGCCTTGACCAGAGAGTATCTCCTGAGGGTCCCTATGCCCGCAGGACTATTCACACACCATGCTGGGAAGAATTGGAGCCCAGCTGCCTGGTCCTTTCAGAACCTTGATGGACTTTCTTCCAGGGATTCCCAGATTGGCCAAGAGGGGCTGGAACCCCTCCATGGGCTACTTCTGGGTCCACAACTGGACTGAGGTCTGTAATTCTATCACCTGATATAGGGGTGAAATTGACTCCTTCTGGGTCCCTTAGCCTGTGATGCTGATGACAGACCCAAGGCCCAGTGCACTGGAGCCAAGTTCTCAGGCATGTAGACCTATTTCCTTTTCTGTAGCCTGCACTGAGGTTGATGAGTCAGCCACCTGGTTATGAAATGCTGCTCAAAACGCCTCTCATCAGGCTTGGACTGCACTAGGTTTCACAGTCTCCTACCTGGATTCCACAGCTCCCACTTTGGCCCATGGACGTGTGCCCACGTATTGCTGTTGGGGCAGGGATGCAGGATAGGGGCGGCTTCACTGGCTATGTTGCTGATATCACTCCTCCGTAGCTGGATGACTTGCTCTTAACAGGAACAATCCCTTCCCCTCCCCTCCGCCCCACACCCTCCATGGGACATTTAGCAATGTATGGTGACATTTTTATTAGTCATAACTGAGAGGTAGGTGCTACTGGCATCTAATGGTTAGAGCCAGTGATGCTAAACATCATAAAATGTACTGAGCAGGCTCCAAAACAAAGAATTATCTATTCCTGAACATCAATATTGCTGATCTGGGTAGTTTCATATTAACCTTTTCCCTAGTTATGCCTCAGTCCTGAGGCATGGACTGAGTAGTTTCCCTCTTGGTCAATGTGTATTGAAGTATAAAATAAAACAAAACATTTTTTTTCTGTCTTTCTGAAAATGTAATTATAACAGGTTGAATATTGCCTCCCCCCACAACATTATGTCAAATCTCTGGAACATGTTGAATGTTGCTCTATTTGGAAAATGGGTCTTTGCAAATGGAAATAATGTCTGAAGATGAAGAGGGCCTCCTGGATTATTCAGATGAACCCTAAGTGCACCCACAAGCATTCTTGGGTATACAGAAGACACACATACTGAAGCGGAGGAGGAAATGTGAATACAGAATCAGAGATCAGAGCGACCAGGCCACAGCCAAACCACAGAGAAGGTTACAGGAAGGCAAAGGCAAAAATTGGAGTGACATGGCCACAAGCCAAGGAATCCAAGAAGTGCTGACAGCCACCAAAACCTTAGAGAAAAGGCAGGATTCTCCCCTAGAACATGCAGAGGGAGTGAAGCCTGCCAGCACCTTGATTTTAGATTTCTGGCCTTCAGAACTGTTTGAGAATACATGGATGTTATTTTAAACCGTCAAGTGTGTGGCAGATTGCTATAGTAAGTATAAACCTTCCCCATAGTAGGTATTTAATAAATATTTCATATTTTTGTTAATCCTCATCTGAGGTCTTTTTCCTTTGATTTTTAGAGGGAGTGGAAGAGAGAGGGAAAGACAGATAGAAACATTGATGCAAGAGAAACACAAAGATTGGTTACCTCCTGCAGGAGCCCCAACCAGAGCCTGGGTGAGGAGGAGCCCGCAACTATAATAAAATACATGACCTTGATGAGAATCTAATCTGGGACCCTTTGATCTACAGGCTGACACTCTATCCATTGAAGCAAACTGGCTAGGACATAAATATTTCATTTATGATGACAACTGTCTTACTTCTTTGCAGAAATTTAATTATGCCTCCTTACAAAGTCTGATCAAATGCATAATATTTAACTTCTATACAACTTGCCTCAGTGCTATAGTATGTCACTAAAGTACTAGACATATCGACTCATGTATGAATAGAATACTACCCATAGCAGAGGCCACACTATATGATTGTCAGTTGTCAATGTACTAGAAGTAAATTTATTCAAGTCATTAATTGACTTAAAATATACTCTGTATGGATGAACTCAACTGAACACATTAGCTATAAAATACAATGTTTACATTTTATGTAATTTAGAAACTAGTTGTGGTTAATGTAGCTTGCAGCAACATCAGCTTTAATCTCTAGATGGCACTATGTTATAAGGAATCAACCAGAGATCTGATAGTGCAATTTTCATATAACTGCTTCTGGAAATGAAAAACATTATCCTGCTAAAATCTCCCAAGGAATTATATGCAATGCAATGAAAGTTCGAATTCACTAAATACTGATAGCTCTAACTTTTACTTTACTGTGTGATAAGGAAAGATAATAGAGAGACTGAGTTCCTAAAACGTGTTAACCAACAGTAAAGACTATATCAGAAAAGTTTATTTTCATTCAATTTTTTTTATTTTTATGTATCTATTTTGTTGAAAAATACATAAACAATAAATGAGATAGCTTAATTTTCTCATATAAGAATATCCAGGTAACCTGGGATTTTATCTTTGATAGTTACAGGTGAAGATTAGTAACCTATTCTTCATTTCAGCTTAAAATATAAACACGTTGATGTATTTGCTCTTTATCCTCATTATTGAAATTCTATCTTCAGCCTCAAGAGAGATGGGGCAAAGATAATACCTTTTCCTTTATTATCTTTTTTTATATTCCAGGCCTCTCTTTTGGAGAATATTATTTGGCCTTGAGTACCAATTACTTGTAGGGATTTTAAAAATTCTTCTGTGTTTCTGAAAGCTTTATTAATTAGATTTTTTTTTTCTATTTGCATATGTGGTAAACTCATTTAGCCAGTCAAATAATCTCTCATCTGTCAAGCTGGTGTGGCCAGTGGTTGCGTGTAGACCTATGAACCAGGAAGTCACAGATCGATTCCCACTCAGGGCATATGCCCAGGTTGTAGGCTTGATTCCCAGTGTGGGGCATGCAGGGCAACAGATCAATGGTTCTCTCTCATCATTGATGTTTCTATCTCTCTCTCTCCCTCTCCTTTCCTCTCTGAAGTCATATATGGGTAAATATATAAATATATAGTATACACACACACACACACACACACACACACACTCTAGGGGCCCAGTGCACTAATTCGTGCACCTTGAAAGGAACTGTGCCTTGCAAGGCTGCAGTAGGCACAGGGGTGGGTCTGGGCCCACCCTCTGTGCCCCACCTGGCCCCTACTGCCGAGGTCCCTGGTCCCCTGTCTGCTGGCAGCTCCACTTTTGCCGATGCCACTCCGGCGCCTGCCCTGCTTGCACCCACTAATGATGCAGAGTGATTGGGGCTGGTGCCAGCAGTAGGTGCACGTGGGGCTGGTACCATCAGAACTGTGCAGCAGCCTCGATCGCCCCTCAGGTGTAGGAGGAGGTGGAGAAGCCCTGAGGGGTGATGATCAGGGTGGGCCGCTGCCACTCACACCCACTAATGGTAAGTGATTGGGGCTGATGGCAGGTGCTGGCACTGGGTGTGAGCAGGGCTGGCGTTGGCAGCAGGTGCGAGTACTGGGCGGGACTGTGGTGTGCTGGAGCAAAGCATTTTCCGTAACCACCAGAGGCTCACCCTGATGACAGTGATCGGAGCCCTGACTTGGTCTGGCACCCCTACTTACCTGCTCCACCATCCTGCCAAGGCCCATGCCCACCATGCTCTGTGCTCTTCTGGCTGCTGACACCCGCCATGTTCTGTGGGTGCCCCTGATGGTCAGTGCACGTCATAGTGCCCTGTTGTTCTGTGGTTCCGCTGTTTAGTCTATTTGCATATATAGTATAAACATATACAGCATATATATATATATATATATATACTGTATATGTAGTCTTTCATCTTTGTCTTCTTCACTTTGACCTACACATAAAGTACTTTTTTCATTTATTTATTGTTTTGTATTTTGATTATTTTTCTACAGATATTATTTTCAGGGGAGAGGGTGGCATCCTGACTTATTTACCTTTATGAAAATGGTACATGCTTAGAAATGATATGATCTAATTCAAAGAAAAGAAAATAGCTTATTTGTCAATTGTTTCTTTTCTTCACCCTTTAAAAAAAAACACACTGAATACCATTGACCTGAAATATAAAATGAGATTATAAAAAAACAAAAACAACAGATATAATTTTTTTGATCGGATCAATGATTTGGGAACTAAATATGTTATTAAGTAAAATTTAGAGACATTCAAAACAAGTTTATTTGAAAATTTCAATATTTTTTTCTGACAAATGAAAAACCAGTCTCTATCACCACTCCTACCAATTCCAACTCTTAACTTCTATTCTTTCTTGAGATTTCAACTTATATGCCAATTCCTTCAGGCACAATTTTTTGTTGTTGTTGTTAACCCTCACCTGAGGATATTTCTTCATGATTCTTAGAGAGAGTGGAAGGGAAAGTTAGGAACATAGATAGAGAAACAATGATTTGAGAGAACATATCAATTGGTTGCCTCCCACACCTGCCCTGTGTTAGGATGAAACCTTCAAAGGAAGTATATGCTCTTGACCAGAATCGAACCCAGGACCTGCAGTTCAGGGGCTGATGCTCCATCCTCTGAGTCAAATCAGGTAGGGCAAGGCACAGTTCTTGATCTTTAGGGAGACGTCATCTTTTTGTGTTTCGAAAGCACACTGTCTTTCCCATATTATAACTCACGTGTTGGAATTTCACTGCTTATTTCTACATCTATGTCTTTTATCATTCTTTAAATTCTTATTTACCTTAATACCCAGCACCTGGGACAGGACTTGCTGCATCATGAGCACACAGGAAACCCATGTGAATGAAAGTTGAATGTGATTTAATAATAAAAGAGAAAGTTTTACATCATTTACTGTACAAATATATTGGGATATTTACTATGTCAAGCACTGTGCTAGACATCAGAGATGGAGCAGTGGGCATAACAGATGAATTCCTCTGCCTTTACAGATCATCCATTTTCAGTGGGGTGAAGATAGGCAAGTAAACAAATAAATACACAAGTAAACCAGTGGATACAAAATAAAATGTATGTAAAATATAGCTAAAGATATCAATCAATAAATAAGCATATAATATATCAAAATGAGGCAGATATCCATTTCTGGGTATTTGTCCAAAGAAACTAAAAACACTAATTTGGAAGAATATATGTACCCCATGTTTATTGCATCATTATTTACAAATGGCCAAGATACGGAAGCAGCCCAAGAGCCCATCAATAGATGGATAGACAAAAAAGCTGCGGTACATATATACAATGGAATATTATCTGGCAATACAAAATAATGAAATTTTACCATTTGCCACAGAATGAATGGAGGGTACTATGCTCAGTGAATTAAGTCAGTCAAAGAAAGACAAATGCATATGATTTCACTTATATGTGGAATTTAAAGTATAAAACAAACAAACAAAATTGAAATAGACTCTTAGATACAGAAAGTGGATAGTGGTTACTAGAGAGAAGGGAATTTAGAGATTGTGTGAGAGAGGTAAAGGGATTAAGAAGTTAAATTGGCATATACAAAACAGCCATGGGATGTGAAGTACAGCACAGGGAATATAGGTAACTAGAGGCCCAGTGCATGAATTCATGCATGGGTGGGGTCCAGTGGATCCGGGCTGGGACTATTGGGAGGAGGAGATGGCTGGAGGTTGGCCAGCTGGCCCACCCCAACTGGGGCCCAATCAGGGCCTGATCAGGGTTGGGCCACATTGGAGGAGGGGCCATGGGCGATTGGTCGGTGGGCCCACCACTGATTGGGGTGAGGGGGCTGGTTGGGGGTGGGCCTGGCTGTGGGGAGGGGCTGTGGGCAATAGGCCAGCTGGCCCCACCCCCAAATGGGGTGGGGGGAGCCTATTGGGGTCATCAGCCTGGGGGAAGGCCATGGGTGGTTGGCTGGTTGCTCCTGCCCCTGATCTGAGTGGGGGTCTGACTAGGGACAGAGCTAGCTGGGAGGAGGGGTTGTGGGTCAATTGGAGTAATGGGGGCCCATCGTGGGTGGGGCTGGCCAGGGGGAGGGGCCACAGGTTATTGGTTGGCTGGCTCTGATCTTATTGGGGTGTGGGCGGGGTGCGATCATGGATGGGACTGGCTGGGGGAAGGGCCACAGGAGGTTGGCAGGCCAGCCGCACCTTCAAATCTGAAAGGTTTGTGGGTCACAGTGGGCACCATATGTAAAATATGATGTTGTTATGGTCCTATGGTATTCTGGTCGTTGGCTTTTTATATATATAGATAATACAATAGCTATGCATGGTAGCAGTGGGTAACATGGGCTGGGGACACTTTGTAAAGAATATGATTATCTAATCACTATGCTGAACATCTGAAATCAATACAAAATAATATTGAAAGTTAAAAAAAATGAGACAGGTAAATGTGATAAAGAGTATTTGAGGTGGCTCTCGGAAGCCTCTCTAAGGACTAAAATTGAGGTGGAATTGCGAAGGTATCTTGCTTATCTGTGGTAGAACATTTTTTTTGGAGGACAGTTAAGGCAAAGGGCATGAGGTGGATGCTTGCTTGGCATGTTCCAGGAATCTGAATGAGGCTGGAGTAAGTGAACTAGAGAAACTAAATGTGGTTGGAGATGCGGCTAGAGAGGAAACCTGGTGGGAGATAATAAAGGGCCTGGTAAACCTGATAAGGATGTCAGATTTTATTTAGGATGGGAAGTCTTTGGACTGTGGTGGTGGCATTGGAGGTAGCAGGAAGTGGTCAGATTTGGTTTATATTTGAATTAGAGCTGTGAGAATTTGCTAAAGGAATACTAGTACAAATAATGTGAGTGAAAAGGAAGCATTAAGGATGAGTGCAGGATTTTTTATCTGAGCAACTGAAAAACTGGAGCTATCACTTATTGAAATAGATAAGGAGTGGAAATTTAAAAGCAGATATGGGACAGGGAAGCCTTTGCTTTTCAGATGGAAAGTAAAGCAGAATGTATTTATGCCAATGGAATATTAATACTCTAGTGTGGGAACTATTAAAGTGCAGAAAAGTGGGGATATTCCAAAACTGTTCCTAGATTCTGTAAGAAGGGTTGTGATCCTAGACTAGTGAGGAAGTAGTCGTAGATAGCTCATCCCATGAGCAAGGAGGAAGGATAAGGTAGAAAGTTACAGATGCAGAATGATTTATTGGTTAGAAGCTGAGAACACTTGGAAGCTCTGTGTGGTCTGCTTTTAATTTTTCTGTGAAATAGAAAGCAAAGTTATCCGTAGATAGAATGAGTGTTTGAGGTTGGAGGAGAGAGGTAAAGGTGTAAATGGTAAGTTTTTAGCATGAGATGAAGACTGTATAATCTATGACATTATTCCAAAAATCTAAAAAGAATCAAAAGCCATACTGTCATTGTGATGTGGTTATATTTTCAAATGAACAGAATATAAAGCAAAAATTAAGTTTTCCAAGCAAGTTGTCAAAACTCAATATTTGATGTCAGTTGAAATTGCATGATTTGAATCTATATATTGATATATATAAAGCCAGCTACCAGAACGCTGTAACAACAGGAACGACCAGTCGTTATGACTCTCACTATGGCCAGTGAACTGGCCCGATTGGAGGGGTGGAGCCTGTGGCCAACCTCCTGTGGCCCTTTCCCCCAGCCGGCCCTGCCCCCAATTATTCCCCCCACTCCGATCAGAGGCAGGACCATCCAGCCAACCACAGATGACCCCTCCCCCAGGCTTCTGGCCCCCAATCGGCCCTCCCCATCCCATTTGGGGCTGGCCAGTTGGCCCACTATCCACAGCCCCTACCCACAGCCTGCTCCACCCTGGACCAGCCCCCACCATCCCGATTGACCTGCAGCCTTTCCCCCCAGCCAGCTCCGTGCCCTGATAGTCCCCCCTACACCAATCAGGCGTGGGGCTTGATGGCCAACCTCCCATGGCCCCTGCCCCAGTTGCTAAACCCCAATAGGCCCCTGCCCCTAATTAGGGGTAGGGCCCGTTGGCCAATCACCTGGGGCCCCCTCCCCCAGCTGAACTGGCCCTGATTGGGCTCCAATTGAGTCAGACTGGCTGGCCAACCTCCTGCTGTCTCATCCTCCCAACAGGCCCGGCCCTGATCCACCAACTGGCACTAGGCTGGCTAGACCACACCTGTGTATTAATTCATGCATTAAGCCGCTAGTATAATATAAAATACTTGATAATTTGTTAAAAACTACAAATAAATGGAATATCATCACAATGTGGTATATTAAGATTAGTTTTGCCTTTTTCCCCC